GACCATAAACTGAATATAAGACATCAATGTGCTCTTTAAAAAAAAAAAAAAAGCAACAGCATACTGGGTTGTATTAAAAGGAGTGTCGTTTGCAAATCAAGGGAAGTGATTCTTCTACTCTGTTTGGCACTGGTGAGGCCTCACCTGGAATTCTGTGTCCAGTCTGAGCCCTAAACTGCAAGAAAGATGTGGACAGATTGGAAAGAGTCCAACAGATACTGACAAAAAATAGTTAGAGGCCTGGGAAACCTGACTTATGAGGAAAGGCTGAAAGAACTAGAATTATGTAGGAGAGAAGACAGAGGGGGGATTTGATAGGTCTTCAGATACCTGAAGAGCAATTATAAAGAAACAAGAGATGCGCTTTTCTCTGTGGCTGTAGGGGACAGGACTAGGAGCAACAGCTTCAAACTGCAGCAGAGGAATGTAGGTTGGAGATTAGGAGGAGCTATCTGACTGAAGGTGGTCAAGCATTGGAACAGGCTAAGTAAGGAAGTTCTGAAGTCTTCTTCCCTGGAAATTTTCAAGAGCAGGTTGGACAGATACTTGACTGAGATATTTTATTCAGAGAATAATCTGTCTTGAGCAGGAGGCTGGACTAGATGACCTCATGGGGTATGTCCAGATAAGGACGTATGTGCAGGGGTGTGCATTTGCTGTGGTAAAAATAGTAGCGGTGCAAATTTGTGCCACTGTTTTTTGCCACTGCACATGCCCCTGCACGTGGGTTTTTAGGGCAAAATGCCCTACTGTGGGGAAACAGCCATCTCCCTGCTCCTCCCAGCTCCCAGCATGCTGGATTAGCTGGGGGACAACTAGAGGAGGGGAGACCCTCTGGCTAGCAGCCAGAACATCTCCCTGGAGGACTGAGCCTCCTTGTCTGCCAGCACATATTCCTGGAGTGTGCATCACACCGCTTTTTTTGTGGCGAGTTGTTTAACACTGGAATCTCCCAGTGTAAAATTTTGGTGCTGCACTGCAACTTAGCAGTGTGGTGAATGGCTGCACATATGCTACATGTGGTTTGTGGTGCCTCAGATAGCTTTGAGGCCCCACAGACTGCACATGCCCGCTCATCTGGACATGCCCATGAGGTCCTTTCTAGCCCTACTTTCCTATGATCCTAACTTCCTCATTTTTAATGTACTTTCCCCTCTTAGAATCATAGAAAGTTATGGTTGGAAGGGACCTCAGGAGGTCATCTAGTCCAACCTTCTGCTCAAAGCAGGACCAGCCCCAACTATATCATCCCAGTCAAAGCTTTGTCTAACCGAGTTTTGAAAACCCCCAAAGATGGAGCTTCCACCACCTCTCTGGTTAACCGGTTCCAGTGTTTTACTACTCTCCTAGTGAGAAAGTTCTTCCTAATATCTAACCTAAACTTCCCTTGCTGCAACTTGAGACCATTGCTCCTTGTTCTGTTATCTGCCACCACTGAGAATAGGCTAGCTCCATCCTCTTTCAAATCCCCCTTTCAGGTAGTTGAAATTGTATAGTGGCATGATAGATTTGTTTGGCTTATCTCCACCTGCTAAGGTGTTGTTGCATGTGCTTATACTGTGAACACCTACAGTGGCTCACCTACAGATACCTTTGTGTTACTCAGGATAAGGTCTATAAGTGGGTTTTAAGACAAGCTGATTTACAAAGCAGTCATTTTTTGAATCCAGAAGTCTTACCCATTTTTTGAATTCAAGTCTTACCCAGCATTTTGCCCATGAGGAATTCATTTAGTCTGTGTGAGAATAGCTGAAGTCTCCCATTATTATTGCCTGTCCCACTTTTGCAGCTTCTCTAATCTCCCTTAGTATTTCATAATTACCTTTATCTTCCTGATCAGGTGGTTGGTATTACAGTCCTAATACTATGATCCTTTTATTCAAGTATGAAGTTTCTACCCACAGAGATTCTGTGGTACTTTCCCTTTCAGATAAGACTTTTATATTGTTACTGTCTTTACTATCCTTAACAGTAGGATGTGCTACTCTTACATCCTACTCTGTCATTTTAAAGGCACAAACTCTATCAGAAAATGCAAGTTTAGAATTCATGGTACTGTCCTCTAGGCCAAACAGTGTTTGGACTGGAGGAGAAGAGCAACAGAAAAAGCTAATTCTGAACAACACATAAAACTGATCATTGTTTGGGAACATTAGTGGGCTCATCTACATGTGTATTAACATGCTTTAGTTAATGCATATTAAATCTAGTACCTCCATTGTGAGGTACTAACAAAATGTGCATTAGCCTGTCTTAATGTGTATTAACTAAAGAGCATGGGGAACTTTTACATGTGGTCTGTGGGTGAGGGGGGCAGTGCTTTAATTAGAGTGGCTCCGAGAGCCTCTCTAATTAAAGTGTCACAGCGTCTTTTGTATCAGAGTCCCTGCTATTCAAAATGCTGGTGGGGGTGCTTGAAGTAAAGCATGTTCGATGAGCTTTAGTTGAAATACCTCCACTACCATTTTGAAGTGCAGGGACACTGATACATGAGATGTAGGAGGCTGCTAGAGCGTGGCAATTACCATGTTCCAGCAGGCATGATTAATCAAGTCTGCTCTGATGCACTGTAATTGCAGTGCGTCGGAGCAGCCTCCACACTCATGTACAGGCACCCAGGGTTTTTAAGTGATGCTTAGTATGCATTAGCTTATTTTAATGTACATTAAATAAATAGCACATTTTTAGTTATGCTTTAATGAGCATTAAAATAGGCTAATGCTCATTAAAGTGCACATGTAGATGTGGGAAACAAGGGGTGCCTATACATATGCAGGAAGGCTGCTCCGGTGCACTAATTACAGTTCATTGGAGCAGATTTGATTAATCAAGTCTGCTGAAGTGTGGTAATTACTGTGCTCCAGCAGACTCCAGCATCACATGTATCAGCATCCGTGTTGAAAAATGGCAGCGGGGGCGCTTTAACCAAAGTTCGTTTGATGAGTTTTAGTTAAAGCACTCTCACTGCCATTTTTCAGCATGGGGACACTGATACATGTGACAGGCACTTTAATTAGCGCAACTCTTGGAGCCACTCTAATTAAAGCACACCCCATCCCTCCAGAGCACATGTATAAATGCCCAAAGAGCAGGAAACAAACAAGCCATTTTATTTATCAGCAAATGGGGACTTGCTATGCTTCACTGCTTAGCTAAAACTTAGCAGATTTTAATGTTGAGAAGAGAGGAAAACACTTTCTAGTGGCTACTTTGATCCATTAAAGTTGCTTTTTAAAAAGTTAGCCAATTCAGTGACAAACTTATCTATTGTTCACCAACCTCAGTCTCAGAAGTGGCTAAACTGTTTTTTGTTCAGTGTTCCAAAAATAACCAACCAGAATCAGAGAACAAGCTTGAAAAAATCAACCTGAATGACTGTAAGAAGCAAGGGTTTTTGGTAATATCTTGTTATCAAGCAACATTGTGGTTGAGGGAGATGTTAGATATTTTTAGACACAAAGTGCCCTTCCTCAGGTATTTCATACACTTGCTCCAACAAAAGATATCATGCAAAAAAACACTTACTTCTTACTTCTGATTTCCTTGACAATCATGGCTACAACACTCCATCTCTATTACAACCTGAATATTTAAAATTTGACAAAGTTTGAACAACAAAGTACAGTATGACTAACTGTAGGGGTCACTGTTGCTTCACCTAGCATAAGAGCTTCTTCATAATGCAGGTTGCAGCTATGCTTCTGTTTAATGCTGTTCTTTCTCTTTTTTTATACTCTTCAAAATCAGCCTGAAAATTGGGAGGCCAGGTCAGGACTTGAGAGGAAAATTTGAAGGTAATACAGGGAGGCTAAGTATGGTGGCCCGGGAAATTGGTATTGCCAGGCTCCCTAGCTGAGATCCAGTGCTTGAGACTGAGAACAAGGACTGTCACTGGAAGCACTGAACAGTTACTGGACCTCCAGTTGGGAGGTGGGAAGAAGATCAGTGCAGGTGAGTGAGCTCTGCTTTGTTATCAGGCCTGTAGTACCAGCTTAGACAGGAATGTGGGAGAAACTACTAAAGCAGAACTCTTGCTCCTATCTCAGAGAATGGTGTGAAGCCATATCCTCCGTTGCAGTAGCACAGACTCCACCGCTGGAGCTAAAGCTACAGTCTGGTCATCTTCTTCATGGGCCAGCCACTACAAAGGAACTGGAAGTATAGTATGCATGGAGTCTGGAGGTGCCACTCACCTCCAGACAATCCCAGGAAAGCAATTCTCATGTCTCCTCTTTTACAGATAGGCTAGGTGAGGGCAATAGAGATCACGGACTGACATCTCTCCGCTACCTTCTCAAGTTCAGTGCTTACCCGTATGGCAACATGGCCTCTCCTACAGTGATACTCATTCTATGGATTTGACTATTCTGTGTGGATAATGGGGCCGCTGCCAGCCTCCAAATCTTCCCTCCTGCTAGGGGAAGGTTATTTTGTTATTGCTTACCACAGGATATTGGACTAAACAGAGCCCTGGTGTGCTCTGCCATGACAGTGCCTATTTCCCCACATATTGGAGCCACTCCTATGATGTTCTGTGTGACTCTGGAAAGGTTTGCATTATCTGCTTTTTGAATTTGGCAAGACTAGTGGAGTCCTAGGCAAGCCTGTGTGTCACTGTTAACTAGGAAGAACTTTGTTCCTTTACACCCAGACTCAGCAGTGATTTAGGTCCTTTAAGCAGGCCGAGAAGGTATCAAAATAAGCATGTATGTTTGCCTTTTCAGAGCACAAACCATGACATTTGAAAACAGAAGTTTTCCCTCCACGTTTCTGTACCTCAAAACTGTCTGAATGTATTTTGCTCATACTTTCCCTTTGGTCTTTGTGTATAAGAAATTTCATCCCAAAAAAGAATGGTTACTGGTAGTTATGTGTTTGGAATACCATGTTAATTTCACCCGGACCAGAGCAGGAGTCTGCAATACAGCATGTATCCCATGCATGATCTGCACACAGAAGTAATTGGCTCTGGATGGGTTTTCTTATGCCATTTTTTGCAGAGTCCTGGAGAAGCGAGAGATTCTGCTGTATTGCGACTTACATGGGCACAGCCGAAAGAACAATGTCTTCATGTATGGCTGTAACAACAAAGGACCTACAGCGCAGCAGCTCCATGAACGCATCTTCCCTCTGATGCTGAGCAAAAATGCTCCTGATAAGGTGTGTGTGAGCCTACCAGAAACATCTCTCCCACAGGAGTAGGAAGCATCTTTGCTTACCTGGAAGCCCCTGAAGCCATATCCCCATGAGCGGGAACGTGTGGTTTGTGGCACGTTAAAGCCTTTTGATGTGCTGTAAAATGCACGTGACACATGTTCATTTATTTGTTGCATTGCATATTTGAACATGGGGGCAAAAAGAAATCCCAGTATCTAAAAAAACACGCCAAAAAAAAAGTGGCATGGTGCATGTGGCAACAGCATTCACTGCCTGAAACCAGAGCCTGGCTGGCCAGAGCCACACTCTGGCTGCTGGCCAGGCTCTGCACACCTGGATCGCTGCTGCTACAGCCCCAGGAGGTCACCAGGACCCCATGTAAGGCTTCTGGGGCCATCCCAGGTGCTGGCCCCAGTCTCACCTATTCCACCCAGGACAATTTGCTGTGTGCTGGAGTGCACATGCAGAGGTATGCCTGGGGACAAATAGTAGCGGCACAAATATGTGCCACTGTGATTTGTCCCCAGGAAAATGCACATGCGCCCCTCAAGGCGGTATTCCACCTTCTCAGGCACAGCAGCCAGTAGGGGTGATGCCCCTGCTTCCAGGCCTGTTTCTGTTTGCCATTCCTGGAGAGTTGTCTGGAGTTGTCTTTGTTTTATGTTTTGAGAAGTTGACTAAGCTGCTCTCATGATGTAACATGAGCATCTGCAGGAAGAGCCCAGGTTCAGGGAGCATGGGGCTGATTTAAAGCTTCTTAGAAAAAAATATTTTTGATGTTTTACTATTGAGACACCAATAATGTTCCTTTTGAGGAGGGTGACTTCTAGATCCACCACAGTCAAAGTTAATGTGCCTAATGAATTTGTGGGCTAGGTTTCTACCTGTATTTGTTTAATTAAGTCTTTTGTGTATGTATGTATGTATGTATGTATGTATTTTGGGTAAAATTGAGCTTCTCTAACACTGTTCATTTATATAAGCCCCTATTTTTCAGTTGCTTCTAATTTCTCCAAATGTAAGTCATTTTGGGCTGAAGTTTTCCATGCTAGGGCTTTGCCTTGGCTTAATATTTTTTTGTACAGTTTAAAAAAAATAGCTCAGCAGCTCCCAACAATGAAGAAAGGGAAAAAAGTTTTGTTAATTGGTAAGTTTTGGCAAGGCAGTTTTGGCAAATCCAAGTGATTTTCTCTCCCAGCTCTCTAAGGTCAGGCAACTGTGATTAGAGGGCAAAGGGTGATATAGAATGAAAGTAAAATTGGGATTAATATGAGGGGTTCTTTAGACTTCAAAATGGCTTCTCTCAGAAGGAAGGCCCCTGTTTGTTAGAAGTTGTGCTCTCTTGGGGCAAGTTCCAAGCATCTGAAGGAATCTCACACTGTCCCATTATTGTGCTAAACCATTTGGGTTGGTGTTCAGTTTTCTTTTCACAGCTGCAAGTTTAAAGTCCAGAAAAGTAAAGAAGGGACAGGTCGGATTGTGATGTGGAGGATGGGAATCCCAAACAGCTACACCATGGAGTCCACCTTTGGTGGCTCGACACTGGGTAAGGGTTCTGCAGGACAGAAATGTCCCATTGCAAGGGGAAACTGGGAAGACAGAAGGCTAGACTCCATCTGGAATGAGGCTGCTTACTATCCTCCAGTAGATCTACTTTCTTTACCCACATTCCCCAGGTTGAGGCTAAGGGAGAGCTCAGCTGAGGTGGCACCCTCAGTTGTCTGGCAGTGCAGAATCTTTGGGGTAGTCTCTCCTGTGTGGCCAGCCTGAATGTGGAGGGAAACTGGTACTGGGAGCCACAGCACTAGGTACAGGGAGGAAGAGGAGTTTGGGCTTGCCCACATTAAATTTACTGCACCTGGTTTCAGGGAAGTGCTGCAGTAGTTTAAGTCCCCAGCATAGAGATGAGGGTTGGAGCACAAACACAAGGAGAGAAAAGGAGAGGGCGAGGAAAAACTTCTGTGGGACCCTGTTGAGCTAAGGGGAAATAAAAATCATGAAAATAGCCACAGAGGGAGGTAGCAGGAGAGCTTGGAGAAGACAGTCTCTCAAAAACCAAGGAAGCATAACATACTGGGCGCATACACATGTGCCATTAGGGGGCAGCAGTAAACTGTGGAGCTTATTGTTGGCACAGGATATTGCTCCTGGGAAGCTCCTAGGCACACATCTAGATGTGTGCCCAGAGCGCAGCACGTTGAGCCAGGCTACAGCAGCCCTGGCTGGCAGGGAGCCCTCAGGGGGTCAGCCTGCCAGCTTGGGGCTGCTCCAACTGAGCTCATTGTGTTGTGGAGGGGCTGGCTGGGGAACAAGGGTGCTTCAGTGCGGGGCTGGCCGGCAAGCAGCCCTGGCACTGAAGCATCCTTGTGCCCCAGTGAGCTGGTCAGTGTCTACACATGTGCTGCTGCGCATGAAAACACTACTCTTCTGCAGAGTTTATTAGTTTCATGTGTCCTAATAGGAGTGCATGTGTAGATGCTGAGACATTTACTGTGCAGTTAATTAGGCAACTGCACAGTAAATGTCTTGTGTAGTTGTGCCCACTAAGGAAGACGGTGGGTCACCAGTGTGTAATGGCTTCTATGTGCTAAGACAAGATCAGCTGAGAGAGCTCAAGAGGAAGAGAGCAATGAAGGCAATTTATCCAATATGCTCTGACATGAAAGGACAGTGGCCAAAAGGCACTTGGGCTCTAGAGATAGCTCTCTGAGGCAGGTAGGGCCACCTGCATGCATATTGGCAGGAAAGCAGCTAGCAGAGAGAGCAGGAAGGGTTGGAATTGAGGGGAAAGTTCACTAGGTGGGACAGAATGAGGGTTAGAGATGGAAAGCAGGCTGCTTCTCTATGCCAGCCCCCAGGGAAATGGGGCAGGAGCAGCAAAGCCACATCTCAGCATGACAGCATGTACTTCTCTCTGGAATCGTTGGTAAGCTCCTGTCTGTGCTGGGCTAGGGAAGGAACTGAGCTGAAGTTAGCAATGGGAGGGGCTTGGGCTGGGAGCCAAAGGATTGAGGAGGCAAGATGCATGGCAGATGGCAGAGCAGAGCATGGTTGTATGGTAGAGAAAGTGCACGTGGCCACAGGATCCTCTTGGGCAAGTGGGGCTGGTAGGCTGAGGTGTGAAGGAAAGAAAGAACTGTGAGGAGCTCAGTAGCCAGGGCAGCCAGGAATCACTCTTCCAGAGGAGAAGGCCTGCAGCAATGGCACAGTCAAATGATGATGCTGAATGCCTAAGATCCACAGTGCTACAGAGCACAGGGAGCCCTGCTAGGCAGTGTGGCAGTCACTTGTGTACCCCCTGCCAGATGACCTTGAGAATTGTGGCATCGAAGGACTTTAGACTATGTTTGCACCCCTACCAGGCAAGAAGAGTGACTCACACTTTACCTCAGAGGACCTCAAGTCTCTGGGCTATCATATCTGCGACACTCTCTTGGATTTCTGTGATCCTGACCGCTCTAAGGTGAGAGCCCAGCTCCTGTGGCACTAGAGATGAGACTGGGTGGGACCTAGGCAGGACCAGGGAAGATGGTGAAGGTTCACCCATCTCTGCCTCGTCTCCCTTTTGTGACCTCTGTGTTTTGCACAGATTTTGCCTGCAAGGAAATTTAATTGAATTTCCAAGGATTCTATATTAGGTGGTACCATATCCCCTTGGTGGGCTCTGGGCGGTGCTGCTGTTCTATGACATCTCCATCCCTAGCTTTCCTTCTCTGGCACCTTTGGGCAGGGATCCTGCCAAACTTATTCCCCAGTCTCTTCCTTAGGCCATCCCCCTGCCACGTATTCAGAGGTTCAGCTCTAGTAACGTGCAAAGAGAGGTGCATCTACACAAGATATTTACTGCACAGTTGACTAATTAGCTGTGCAGTAAGGGTGTTTATACATGTGCACCAGGAGGCGGTGGGTGGGTGCACTTTAATTAGAGTGACTCCAAGAGCTGCTGTAATTAAAGTGCCTGGAGCATCGTGTATCAGCATCCCCGCGCTGAAAAATGGCAGCGGGGGAGCTTTAACTGAAGCTTGTCGAATGAGCTTTAGCTAAAGCACCCCTGCTGCCATTTTTCAGTGCAGGGGTGCTGATACACGTGATGCTGGAGTCTGCTGGAGTGCAGTAGTTACCACACTCCAGCAGACTCAATTAATTGAGCATGCTGTGATGTGCTGTAATTATCAGTGGTGATGAGTAGGGGGTGCATGGGGGTGCACGTGCACCCCCTGAGAGCATTGGTGCATCCCCTGCAAGGCAGCGTTCTTTGCTTAGGTGATGGGCAGGGGGGCAGGCAGGAGGGCCAGTGCTCCTGCTGCAAGTGCTGGCTGGGGAGTGGGGGTGCCACATGAAGCGCTGCTGGCACTTCTGAGGGCGCTACTGGCACTTCCGGGAATACCACTCACACTTCCTGGTCAGTGCGATTGGCTGCAGGGGACACCCCC